AGGGAGGGAGGGAGGGAGGGAGGGAGGGAGAGAGGGAGGGAGGGAGAGAGGACTCTTCAAATAAATAGCCGGCGTGAGACTCCAGCACTGGTAGTGCACAGGAGATAAACCAGCTTCCATCCTGTAGCTCAGCAGCAGCATCTTCTTCATGCGGATGGACAGATGGACATCTCATCTCCGCTAGCTCCCCACACTCTTGACAACATCTTAGGCTACACAGCCTCTGGCATGTCGTACTCTGCACTGAATTTACAATGCAAACACTGTATGGTTCTAATTACATAGGCACTGGTTCCAACAGTACCCCCGACAGAACTTTTGGTTTTCTGTTTGAACAGATTCCTTTGCTCAATTTATCCAAATTACTCACAACCCAGAGCATCAGAACTGGGCTGAAATCAGAAAAATAACACTAATGGTTGAATCTGCCCTTGAAGAAAGTTGCTAAGAGACCAGAGAAGTCATTTGACCATTACATATTCCTAGAAAGTGCTAGACTAGGGATGGCATGGACATGTGGGAGGCTGGGAACACGAAGCTACAATGTGCTTGCTTGGTATCTACAACACTCTGGGGCTCATAACAAAGCCCATGAAACCTGAAGGTGGAGAAATGAAGTCAAAAAGAGTTAAAGTGCCTTGCCTGAGGCCACACAACTAGAACATGCTGGAACCAGGACTGCACAGAGGTCTAGAGATGCTACCTACAACCCAAGACTGTACGTACTCTTCCCTGGCTGATCCACTCTGCAAGTTACATCAAAGAGCCCTGTCTCCGATTTGGATGAAATGTGAGGCTGAATTGGAATAGCAATTATGCTGTTTTCCAAGTACCTGCCACCACCAGATGTGCCCAGAGGCCCAGCTCAGAAAGGAGTCCTGCCTGGCAGCAGTTTACATGTTTGCCCTCAAATCAGGTGCAGAAATCCTGGCAAGAGGAACATCTGACCACACTCATCCATCAACAGCCCCGTCAGGTGCCATGCACGCACATTGCCAGCGGCTCCACTCCTGGCATCATTTTCTAAGACTCCCGAGGCTATGGTATCTCCAGTGCTCAAACCTAAGCCCGCCCTAAAGTGGAGAATTTCCTGCAGGGAAATTCCACACCTCAGGCTGCCCCTGCAAAGATCCTGCTCCCTTTGAGAGGCACCCAAACACACAGGTGGGTTACAGTCGTTAAAGCAAGCACTCTGTCGTGTTCCTGAAAGTTTGCATAGTGTGGTGTGAGTGGGGCTTCACAGCACACAGAGTACAGTTCTGTGGCTCCTGCACGTTTCCCAGCTCAGAGGCGTGGGCATTACCTCCCTATGTGCCAGGCTTCCAGTTATCAGATTTGAATGGGAGAGAAAACAAGGGACTCAAGGTTGGTTCTAAGAACTTAAGGAAAACTTTAAGAAAAATAAACAAGTATATGCAAATGAGTAATTCAAAAACTGTGCACATCTGGTCCAAACTCCAGGCAGGGTGGGTGCGTGGATCTTTCTAGCTTATTCTAGAGGTGTATATTTTGGAGCAGAACAGATGTGTCCATGAGCTTTGCTGTAGCTATGACAAAACACTTGAGAAATTCCTCTAAAAGGAGGA